GATGCAAGGAAACGTGTAAAAATAGGCTCATGAATCACTGAATTCAGAAGCGCAGTGCAGTCAGATCTCCTAAGTCATCATCCATGGTGGGGGATACCCTTCTTTCAGCACAGACTCTTTAGTTTTGTTCCCATGGAGTGATGTGTTCATAGTCCTGCTTTACTACAGCGCTCTGTAAGCAGCTGTTCCACGTGTCATGCTGTGTGTTCATGCAAACAGTGTTGACAGAAGCTGTCACAACATGACATCCCATGGAGTTGTTTCCAGCTTCTGGGGTCATCCAGAAAACACATGCCAACAGCCTAGCGCGGCACAGAAACCGGCAGAGCCTCAATTTGAATGAACCCAAAGCAAGACGTGGGGAGTTCGCATTTTCCTTGCTTCAAAACACCTTTAAGAGGGGGTTTTCCCCTGTTCTGCGTTTCCTCCAGCAGTGTTTGAAGGCTGCTCTCCTCTGGCTTTACGGCCTGTCCTCTGAGTGCCGCAGGGCAAAGGGAGGCAGGACTGCCTGGACACTGTGTGCCCGTGGAGGGCTCGGCGAGCTCAGCCAAGAAAAGGGAAGAGCTGCCTGAGCAGAGATCTACTAAAATCACCCCGGTGGGATATGAAATATGAATGGGGCTGTGAACACTGTTGTTAGAGCTGATTTATTCCTGGCACCTTGCCGTGGTGCTGCTGGGGAGGTCGTATGACGAAGACACATTGATCCACCTTTTAACAGCGGCCACGCAGCGTTGTCCTCCCCCTCCATCAGTCCGTAGGTTTTCACATGGAACTGATGGGAGACTAATTTATTTTCCATATGTAAAAATTATCTATACCAGGATTTCTTACTGCTGGGTTCGTTCTGCCCCTGAAGGTTTTAATTTCAGTACAGAATACTCCCTGGAAAAGGGGTGATTCGTATTCTTTTTTCACAAAGTGTTTAATAATTTACAGCCAGTGGGTGTTTTCAGGTTGTCCTAGGCAGTATATTGGGAGAAGTGATGGAAGGAGGAGCTTGTTCAGAATTCAGAGCTCACAGGCAGCTGGCTGGGGATCACCTTAACTACCTGCAAGTGCCGAAGTGCTGCTTGCTGCCCAGGCTGGTCCGGGTTTGTGCAGGAGGAGGAGGCGGCCGTGGCTTACGCTGGGAGCGGCGTGGCACGACGCAGGTGTCACCGTGGGGTGACACAGCAAGTCACCACGCAGGGACACATGCGGGCTCTGGCCAAGGCAGCTTGGCGTCAGCCACCATCCACTGGAGAGCTGTTTCTGTCTCTGCTCGGCATGCAGAGCGAGCTGGGGACATTTTGATATAACAAAGATATAACAAGTGTGATATAATGGCTTAAGTAAATGTATTCAGGAGGGACTTTGAAGGGCTGGGAGTCTCTCTGATGAGCTGGAGGGAGGTGCCAGGCAAATCCCCTAACACAGCTGTGCCAAGAGGGTTTGTGCCTGCAAGCTCTGCCTCCAGGCTCTGTTACTCATAATAACCTGCGGTCAGGTTTCTGTGCTCTCCCAGTCTCCAGGCAATCGTGTCCACCCTTATCCCTTGAGATCCATCTGCCACGTTCCTCCAGGCGTTGCACCCAGACCCCAGCAGACAATGAAGCTCCTCTGAAGCCAGCAATTCCTGGGTGCAAGGTATACCAGAACACTGTCCCTGTACTATGGTTGCTCTGTGATCTGCATTAGCTGCCCGCGATTTCCAGGGGTAAATAAAACAACCTGTGAAATTCTCTTTCTCACAGCTGTTCCTTACCATGAACTGTTCCTGCTCTATCAATGAGCAGCTCCTGCGGTTAGTAGGATCAGTGAGCTTTAGAGGATGCTTGGAGAAAGCCAGTGTTTCACCCCTTTCCCAGCCCAAGCCTATGTGTGCTGGGCCAAGCGCTGGCCCCGCTGAGGGAATGAGGTGCTTTGAAGTGACAGACTTTGAGGGGAACAGGCTGTGGGGACAGAGTGTACCAGCCAGCGTGGGGGTTTAGAGACTACTGCTTCCAAATTTCTGCACTTCAGACATTTCTGCCCATCTCTTCACAAAAGAGCTCTTTGGCCATGAAGTCTCCCCCTGTGCAACATAGCATGTAGCCCCAAGGTGGGGAGGAGAAGACATGAGCCACAGAGGGCCAAATGACACTGATGTCTTTCTATGCCTTACCAGCTTGTTCCCCACCCACCCCAGCCACATGCAAACATAAAAAAACAACCAAACTGACAGCTTCTGCTGATTTTTTCAAGAATTTTTTTAATTAGCATTAAAAGGATTGCACCTTCTGATACAGATCATCTCTGAGACCTATACAAATAACTTATAATCCATCTACATCATTTACAACTGTACAGAGTAAACTCTGGATACTGCAGACCACGCTCCAACCCAGTGTACGGTCTCTTGGCTTTGTAAGCATTTGCCTTGCGTGCCAGGGTACATGAACCCGCAGTGAAGACCCGAAGAGGCAGAGGTGGGAAGAGCCATGGGTCACCCCTTATCCCTGTGTTACCCTATGCAGCAACTCACAGAGGAAAACAGCTGGTGCAAGCAGGCGTTTCCTGACGTGTTTCTGAGCCTCCTGTCCAACTTCAGCTTCCTTCATGGCCAAAATGTTTGCTGCCCAAGTCTGGCATTGGTGGGCATCAACAATTTTTGACTTGTGAGGTGAAAAACTGTACTGAAGAACCAAATGCTGTTGCTGAGGTCTTGCAGCCTTGTGGCTCCTGTTAGGAAGATGTTAAGGCTTGGGGACTGTGCTTGGCTCAGCTGGGAGCGAGGGCTACATCTGCTGCCATTTCAAGATAGCTTCCTTAGGAAATGGTCATGTTGCTGTTGCCCAACATGATGTTTCAACTGTTGGTGTTGGTTTGGGATTAAATATTTCTTGAGACCTGAAGGCTTTTTACACTGCTAGATAACCCATCACCTGCCGACAGCTCTTGAGCCACTGTGCCCCCAGTAGTGTATTTCAGCGGTTGTTTCGGACTGCATGGTACATTCAAAGTGAGACTGAATAGACCTTTAGCTTGAGAACAGGAAGCAACAATGCCTGCTGTGCCGGGTGACAATGCAGGACAGGAGCAGGAACATGGCAGCCCTGTGCTTGTCGGCAAAGACAGGGACCAGGGAAGTCTGAGATTTGAACCCCTAAAGCCTTGTGCACGTGGCAAGAAACGCAAGGAGGATTTCCCTGGGACCTAACCAGCCAAGACAACCCACAAGCTCAGAGCAGTTCTGTGGAAGGGAAACTCCTCTCCAATACCCCAGACTGGGACACCTGGAGGTGGGCTCCTTGTTCCAGGTGTGGGTGGTTAAACAGAAGTGACTTTCCAGAGGTGCAGCTCCCCAGGGCTGGGCAGACCCAGCACAGAGAGGACAGAGAGGTGAATTTGTCCCCAGCTATCAGGGCTAACAGAGGGGTTTGCCAGTGCCACTGCAGCTGCGTCAGCATCACCCTGTAGCACAGAGCTGGCGCTGGGGACTCCCCATCAGTGACAGCCAGAGATGACTGGGAATAGCTGCTACGCACATATACAAAGCTAAAGGACACTTTCTTTGGGCTGCTGATCCAAGCAAGAACCCCTGAGTGAAGGCAACCCAGGTAATGAGTTATCTGGGAGCCAAGAGAATAAAAAAATGATGGTAACATAGAAGGAATGCCTCCAAATCCCCTCCAATGTGAATTTAGGGAAGAGTCCCCGGAGACACTCCAGAAACCACAGATCACATTCAGAAGGTCAATAAATACACACGGCATTTCTTCCATTATTTCACTCAGCCACTAACTGGAATGAAGACAAGGTCCTCCTACACGATCATCCTTAACGCCGCGTTAGTCTGCGCCTATGTGGAAGCAGCTGTGCCGTCGCTGCTCAGCCTGGCCCGTCTGCAAACCAAGGGAGGGTTCCTACACCGTGCTAGCAGCAGAGGAAAGGAACGGGGAAGTCTTGCAGGCGTCCTGCCCATCCGTTGATCCCAGGAGCACTGCTCCTACTTCCACATCTCTAACCCGCGCAGCAGACACAGACCAACCCACGACTGCAAAGCAGGCTGCCATGCAGAGGTATTGCTGGCTGAGCTCACGGAGGAGGGCCGGTGCTGCTGGGCTTGTAGGTGGTTTTTCAACTATGCAACTGGAGGAACACAACCAGCGCTCGTGAGGCTCCAGACCAGAGGCGGAGAGGTTGTGTGGCGAAGCCACAACAAAATCCCAGGTGGACTCAAAGGTACAGCTCAGATGTCAAAGAGCTGTTGTGCAGCCTCCATTGTCTGCTCAATGAAGGTTTCGTCTTCAAGCAGATCTATACCATTTGCAGCCGAGCGTATCCCACAGCACTGCCTAGACAGCCCAAGCTGTTCTTTCCCTGTTCATCACTGCCAAATATTGCACTAGATTTCCCATGTCCCTGTTTCACTCCATTCATCATTACTTTGAAACAACAGCAGGTTTTCCACTGGCTTCCACAGAAGCTGCGTTAAACGCACATGCTCTCCCAGTTATGGTCAGACTTACAATGAAGTTTCGTAAATCAGTCAGGGGAATAATGGCTGGTTTGCCCAAATACATCACCCTGTGCCAGAATGAAGAGTTTGCTGAGCGGAACCCCATGCAATGGGCCCTGAACCCCTGCCAGGCTGTGAGACATCACCATAATAAATATCGCTGATAGCAACTGCTCTGTGCTCCACAAGCACAGCGAGCGCCATCACCTCAGCTGTATTTTCACCAGTCTTCCTGAAACGAAGAAGCTCAAAGGTTTTCCCTGACTTGTGCAAAAGGTTAAAACTCAGTTCTTCAGCAACGCTCTGCCCCTTGGCGGGGGGTGTTAGCTGTGGTCATCACTGCTGTAGAGCAGGGCATAGCTGTCCTCCCTGAGCCCTACCCACCTCTGCTGTTGCAGCTTTTTACACCATTACCGTTGTAAAATCACTGTTGGTGGCTTTTAGTGTGTTTTCTTTTTCCATCTCCTTTGTGATGACCCAATACCACATCTCTCACTCCAGCTTTTTCTCATTTTCTTCATTGGATCATGCCTGCAAATGTGTTGATAGGCAACAGCAGAGACTTGGGCATGTATTTCACAAGCCCCACATCTTCTGTTTCCTGCAGGTTGAATTTCATTGTCCTTGTCTTTTGCAAGCAGTAGCTGGGCTCTAGGCAAGGAGACACTTCCACGCTGCAAAAGCACAAGAACATATTTATTGCACGTAACATATTGATCTGCCCTTCAGGCCCAGACTCCGATCTCAGACTAAACGTCAGGTCTCTCCACTGACTGCTGAGAGAGAGCTGTCATATTGAGATGCGCAGCTGCTTTTATGCTTTTTCAACTGGTTTTGTTTGGAAAGATGAGCTGATGTGTATTAGTGTTTGGCTACAAAACCAGTGTCCTCAGCCCGACTCAGTTTGATTCTCAGAAATTCACATTTTATGTGTGTTCCACATGGCCCATGGACCTTGAACCACCTGTCCATTTGCTTCCAACACATCATATGTCACTGCAGCCACTGTAGACACATTGATCCCTGCTATTTACACAGGGCTGAATTCTCTCTCCCTACTTTCATATGCTTGAGACACTCTGGTGAGGAATGGGGTCAGTGGAGAGAGCATCAGCTCCGTGATATAATTAAGGAGATCTAAGATCTCAGTTCGTCGCTGGAGGTACCTATCCTTCTACTGTCTTAATGACAGCACCTTACTTATAATGGAAGAACCATTTTGTTTCTCTCACTGTCACCCGAAAACACAAAGGTAGGAGAGCACCATCTGCCCTGCTTTACCTGGAGAAGCAATGCATTAGCCTGTCAGTCTTCTGTCGTGTATGAGGATGAGGACTAGGACTCGCTGGGAAACCGCTCTGACACCTTGGGAGCCCTTCCAGGGAGGGATGCAAGGTCACCGGCAAGCTGCGCAGAGCCTGGCACACGTGGCATTCTCACCTGATCACATTCCCGTAGGCTCTTCTGCTGTCCTTGTCCAGACACACCATGAAGGGCCTCTGCTCTGTGCTCCTGATTTTGACATTGCGTGTTTTCAACCTGTTTGCCACAGCCTGGATTGAGAGAGGAGGAAGAGCCCAGTGAGTGTCTCACTTCCCTTCCCTTGGCTGCACGGTGACGGATGGTGTGTGCATACTTGGTATGAAAGGGACAAATTATGACATTACTCTTTTATTTTAACCTCAGATGTGACACAAGGTGATTTCTTTAGGGAGGGAAGTGTCTTTCTTGTCCTTTTCCTGTAATCACAAACTGGTCAGATTTTGCAAGGGCAAACTTTCCAAACTGGCAATGCTTATGCAGATTGCAAGGTTTGGGATGTTTGATGTGGGGCATGGTCTGTTCTCCAGGGCCATGGTGTATCTTGGTGGGCAACGTGGGCTGCAATACCTTGGTGTTTCCAAAGGCCAGGAGAAAATAAGCAGAAATGTGCTGGCTAGCTAAAAATACCAGCTGAGAGGCTAGAGGCTCCAGGGCCCAAATGACCACGGCACAATAATACTTAATGCCACCCAAACTGCAGTGACACATTCCCATGGGGCAGCAAGTCCTCTGGGGTCTACTTGAACTCTCATGTAAAACAGAAAGGACATGAGCCCAAGTTTTCAGTCCCATCTCTTGCATATCCATCTTTCTGAATTGGTAATTAGATTCATTGAAGTTCCCGCTTCTTGTTTATGATTTGTTAAAATATTTCTCCAATGGCTTCTATTCTCGTGAGCTCTGTGGGGATTAACACACGGGGTCTGGGGAGGGCACTGCAGCTGGAGGTGTGGAGCTAATAGAGTCGATCACGAAACTACAGACCCTCTCCCCTACCCAAGTCGAGCCACGATGACTGGGGCTAAGCTTTATTTCTCCACTTTGTCCCTGCGGTCACAAGAATAACCCCAGCAACAGCTCAGTCCTTCAGGGTCTCCTGAGACCTTGTGTGGCATTGGCCAGCAGGGATGGCATTTGGGTCTTTGGCTCAAAAATCTAGACTTTTCCATGGAAAGTAATTACAAAACACTCTCTGAGCAGGGTGGTCCCAAAGCCTTCTCCTCCCCACAGTGTTTCCCCTTTCACCTTGTAGTAAGGGGTTTCCACACATTGGCTGACCCCTCCAGGGCCATAAGCATCCACAGCTACTTACTGAGAACGATCGTCCCGACAAGTTGTTGACCTTAACGATTTCAGTGATGTTCACATTCAGACACACCAGGTCTACAACAGAAGCAGCACGTTAACCTCAGACCATGGCACGATCTCAGCTCAGCTTTGAGTGGGGCTGGTGCCAGATACATAGGACAGCAGAAAAGGAGGACTCTAGAAAGTTGCATGGACTAAGGGTTTGTGTGGGATCATGCTCAGGGTAGAAACCTCAGAGGCTATGCTAAGGGCAAGGTGAAAGAGAAAGGCTGCAGCAAGAGGATGATGCTGCCAAGCCCAGATTACAGTTGTGCTGCACGCCACGTTACAGGGAGCTGCAGGCACGTCATTCATGAGAAAATGCAAAACCACAGTCTGTGGTGACACCAACATATGCATGTCACTGATTCAACCCCCACAGCCTAGGCACAATTGGCACTAAGTACCATGGTCAGATTTACTCTATCAAGCACCAGAACACTCAGCAAACCCTCTTAACATGGTTCCAAGCAGGAAGAACCCACCTTCAGCCTCATCGGCAGGGATGGCTTTCATCACCAGACTTGTAGAGCGTAGGGACATAGCCAGCTCCTTTGCCCGGTCGCTCACCACAACCTGCAGGAAAGGCTCTGTTAATTCACCCTAGCAGAGAGGTTAGACATGGAGAGGTCTGGGAGCAGTTTTTCACAAATGCAAAGTTAGCTAACAGGCTTTTAGAGTTCACCGCAACCTCTTTGTCCTCCCCTGGAGTGCAATTCCAGAGGAAAGAAGGAGGGCCAGAGCACTCCTTTTAGGAGATCTATGCCATGCTGGGGATCCCTGTGAGCAGAGACGTTTTGGGCTGCTGAGAGCCTCACTTACCTTTCTGTATGTTACTGTGAGATCTATGCCAGGGCCATCCAGGGTTGTTTTCTTCTTGGTCATGCTTAATTCTGCAAGGAGGCAACCGGGTGGGATTGAGGTTTCACTGATCCCACCTGTCTGTGGTCAGCAGAGAGGGATCCTCCCATGGGACGAGCCATCCGCTCTGTCAGACAGCAGTCATGGTTTGGCACATCGACCCTTCTCTCCTTGCCTACGGGAGCTGAGGTTCTGTCCACTCAACAGGTCCAGTGAGACGGACTCACTGAAGGGTCTGTGCCCAACCACAATGGGAGACATCCATTGGATTTGACACTGGGGTACACTGATGGAAGGGCTGGATGTGACCTCTGTAACAGTCCAGCCTTCAGGCACTCTTATCCCATCACTGGCAACTCAAGGAAGTTGAGTTTCCAATAGGTAAATCATATGGCAAAAGGGATGGCTGTAAAGCCCAGTTTGTTTCCTCAACGAAAATGTGGTGCTGGTCCAACTTCAGAGGGTCCTAGAGCCAGCCAAAGACATAGTCTACAAAACCTGGTTGAGACCAGGAGCCAATGACCACAAGGTCTCTCATTTAGCCTGATGTTATGCGCCTGAGAGGGAGATGGAGATGTTTAGGGAAGCAGGAGGCTTGTTTGTTTGTTCCTTGTCAGGGAACAAGGGATATTGCCCCCTGGCACGGCCTTGACTGCTGCAGGCTGAGGGACAGGGCAAGGGGGAACTGGGACTGGCACGACCTCCACCCAGGACGGCAGCCCCTGCTGCAGGGCTCAACTTGGGGACACACACACACCTCTGTGGGAGATGTTCTCCTGCATCTGGGTGCGCAGCTCTGTAAGGAAGACATCCTCGGCCGGCTCCTGCGCCGGGTCATTGAAGAAAATCTGAAAGAAAGGAAAATCTCTAAGAACAGCTCCTTTTCAGTCACTTGTCTGGAGCACAAGTCTTATGAGGAGCGGTTGAGGGAACTGGGGTTGTTCAGTCTGGAGAAGAGGAAGCTGAAGGGAGACCTTATCGCTCTCTACAACTACCTGAAAGGGGGTTGTGGTGAGGTGGGGGTTGGTCTCTTCTCCCAAGTAACCAGCGATAAGACGAGAGGAAATGGCCTCAAGTTGTACCAGGGAAGGTTTAGGCTGGATGTTAGGAAAAATTTCTTTACTGAGAGTGTGGTCAAGCATTGGAACAGGCTGCTCAGGGAGATGGTGGGGTCACCATCACTGGAAGTGTTCAAAAAACGTGTAGACGTGGCACTTCAGGACAGGTTTAGTCGGCATGGTGGTGTTGGGTTGACGGTTGGACTTGATGATCTTAAAGGTCTTTTCCAACCTTAATGATTCTGTGATTCTGTGGCATCACACTGGGCCTGTGACATCAAAAGGTTCTCCAGAGCACCCAGGTGTGACATCATCAAAGGAAATCTATGACCTCATCATGGCAGCCAAGGGGCCTATGAGATGGAGAGAACTGCTTTTGCTCTGCTTTCTGAACCCCAGGAGCGTGGCAGACTTTGCCAGGAGGCCAGTGGACCTGGCCAGCAGAGCCACGGGTAGTGTCCCCTGCCACTGGGTGTCACTGCGCACTCACAGATGGGTCTGTTCCCGGCCATCCATCCACAGGCAACCCAGGTCAAGGGGAGCAGCTTCCCAGGCCTGACTGCAGATGCTGACTTAGCTTCAAGGCACGTGATTTCTATGTGATACACTTAAATCAACTGGTCACTTCAGACCTATTAACTGTTTTGTTTTCATGGGCCTGTTTTGAGCAAAATGTGAATATTAAGGTCCTGGAGAACCTCTCCTAGCCACATGTCCAACTCCTGTGGGACTTGACCCTCACTTCCAGGAAAACTCTCTGCAGCCAAAGAGGAACAGCATGGTCTTAACCAAAAAGGCAAAGTGTTTCCAGATGAAGCAGCCTCACACCCAGTATGACGACAGGGTAGGTTAGATGCCTCTACCTGAAAACTACATCTGGAGTGAGTTCCTCTTCCCCTGCTTGAGTCACCCACTCTCTCACTTGTGTTTGATTTTTGTCTTGGAGAAGAAATGAGTTTAATAAAAAATTCACCAAAAAACCAAAATCCCCAGCCACACAAGCTGAGAACCAGGTGCTCCAAGTGTTTATCAGATACATACTATTAGTTCAAGTCCTGATGAAGCTCTACCAGTAATTACCAAAGCTCTTCCAGCTCTTTGCAAGCTGCATGCCAGTTTGCTCATGTAATGACTGCTCCTTTGCTGCAATAGGTTACCACATTGGCTACGGGTAGATTAAAAGGAGATATGTGCATCGGTGCCACCCTAAGCTTTGAAGGGGGAAAACTGCCAGAGGAGCAGATGGGAGGTTGATGTTACATGGCCAAATACAGTAGTTTTTTGCTTTCATATCAAATGCCAGGTCTCTCTCTGATACCATTTCAGAGAAAAGCTGGCAGGAAATAAATAAAATGGTGTTTCAGGAAGCCCTGCAAAGCCCCTGCAAGGTACAGGGAGGTTTTGGCAAAGCCACTCAGAGAACTCCTATTTGCTCACAGCATCTAAAGCAGCAGGAGGTGCCAGAGCTCTGAGCAAACCCAAATCCAGCGGAGCAGGAAATCTGTGTCCTTACCAGGTAATTTCAAGGCTCACTTTGCTGACCTCTGTGATGCTGAAATAGCCTTCCTGGGATCTTTGGCTGAGCTGTGCTACATGGAGTCACTAGATCCAGGAGTCTGGCAAGGAGGGGACAGGCTGGGGAGCATGGAGACCCAGGCTCATATCTGCTGAAAGTCCCCAGACCCCACTGACTTTGCACAGCTCTGCCAGCAATGGGGCTCTGCAAGCACTTGCAGAGCCACATGAAGGCACAAGAGAGGACAGATTTAGACTAAATCTAAGGAAGAAATGTTTCACAATGAGAGTGGATGAAACCCTGGCCCAGGTTGCCCAGAGAGGTGGGAGATGCCCCATCCCTGGAAACATCCCAGGTCAGGCTGGACGGGGCTCAGAGCAACCTGATAGAATTGAAGATGTCCCTGCTCATGGCAGAGGGGCTGGACTAGATGGCCTTGAAAGGTCCCTTCCAACCCAAACTATTCTATGATTCTATGTGGCACCCACCTTCACGGCGTAGACCTGGAAGCAGACGGGCTGGATGCCCATGCGAACGTAGTAAGCAATCACATCAGTGATGAACAGATCAGTCACAAGATGTTTGCTCGGAGAGGAAGGCTGGGGGGGCAAATCACATTATGGATCAGCCACAGTCACTTCTCAAAAACACTGCCACAAACCCTCACGCCTTCCTAGATAAATAACGAGCAATGATCTGTCGCCCAGGGCAGTGTGAGCTGCTTTGCCATGACTAGTCAAAACGAATGGGAGAAATGAAGGCTTGCCCCCACCTACCAGCCTTTTTTGTAGGCTATCGACAGTGGCTCAAACTGCTGGGAAATGAGAGCTGGGGGTATTTCAGAAAATGCCTCATTTACATTTTCTTTCTTGAAATCTGCCATTTCCTGTCCCTTGGCCAAAAAAAACCCATCGCAGAAAATGGGTCTTGTGGGCTGGGGCAGCATCAGCCACATGCACCTTCCCGGTTGCCGGGCCCTGGGGCGGGTTTGCGGGGAGGAAGCCCCTGTCTGGGGCTCCCAGGGCAGGAGCTCGTCCTCAGGTAGAGCAGATGTGTTTGGGAAATGGGCCCGGCTGGGGAGGTGGGGAGGTTTCCCTCGTACCATGGTGGCCAGCTTGGGAATCATGTGGCACAGCGTGTTGATGTTGCTCTCGTACCACGGGTCGGCTCTGCCCAGGTACCCGGCCACCTCGCAGAGCTCCTCTTGGCCGGCGGCAATGTGGTCCTGCGGGAAAAACACACAGCTCAGAGTACGATCATGGCCCAAAACACTGGGAGCCAGAGAGGAGGCAGAGGGAGCTGGGGCACGAATGCCCCGTGAGCAGCTCCCCCATCCCTCCTGCTTCCCTGCTTGGTCTGGAGAAGATGGCAAAATATTTCTTGCAGCACTTATTTAGCAGGTGCTCAAGAACAAAAATTCAGTGAGAATGAAAAGAAGAAATACTCATTTTTACAATGGCACACTTGTCAGAACTCACAGCCAGCTCTGGGACAGCTTAAAATACTGTGAGAAGTGCAACTGTTTATTTATCGCTGTCTCGAGGCTGTCGGGGAGGAAGAGATGTGCCCAAGATAAACTGCAAGGCAGTGACTTGCAGAACTAAAACTGGGGCCATGACCAAGCAGGCAAAGCCCTCAGTAAGGGGCGGCCGCTTCCCCTAAGCGTCTGGGAGGTGAGAAAAGCATCAGTCCTTTGCTAAAGCTCCCTCGACCCTCCTATAGCTGAGGCATAGAAGCAAATCTGAATACCATTTCTAGGCTGTGAGTTGTCACCCATCAGGGTGGTTGGAGCAACCTGAATGTCTCTGGGGCTGATGGATTCCTGAAGCCAGGCTGCAAACTGAGCCCAGCTGCCCTGTCTTGGCTCCCATCCTCCTTGTTCTAGGAACAAGGCATTAACGGATATGAATTCCCGTAAACCCTCCTGCTCTTCCTCCAAAAACACCATCAGTTGCTGGCAGCTTCCAGAGCTGCCGAGCCCAGACTCACCGTAACGGCCAAGGTGTTTGGCTGCCCCGTCACAACCGGGATGTGGTAGAACTGCAGGTTCAGCCTGGGAGTCAGGAAAACTCGCCGTGTTTCTCGTTTCCTTGAAATGGAAAAATAAATAGCCGTGTCACAAGGGGAAGGTGGAAGAACATGGCTCTTGGCCAAGGCTGGGCAGTGCCAGGAGACCACAGCTGCTCCGCAACAGGCGCACGTGCCCTCCTCGCACGCCTCCTGTGCCCGGTGTGACAGGATGGCAGCAATGCCCCCGGGTTCCCGAATTGAGCAAGGGGAGATGATGGGGGTAAGGGGCGTCCCGCAGACCAGCTCTTGGCTGGGGCTGGGGGGGTCCTCTGTCCCCCACCC